GCTCTGTGCCCTCCTAGCTTCTGCCAGCATGGGTTTGTCTCTGCTTCCTTTCTTCTCAGAAGCTGGTAGGGACCCACCACAGAAGGTTTCTCGAGGGGAAGGGGCAGGACAGAGCTTGCAGAGGGGAAATCTGCGGACAGAGCTACTGCCCCAGTGTACAGCTCTAATTCCATATGTAATCAACCCTGTAGGATTGGCCCAAGCAGACCCATTCCTAAGAAATGTCGAGATGGGAAACCTTGTGTCAAGAGGACCTCAAAAGTGATTAGTTCTGAATTAATATTTATGCTGCTTTTACCTGAGATTGATATTCTGTAAACAGTTGTAGGTCCTTCAGCAGCAGACAGCATGTTTGGATAGTCCAAGATTTAGTAGTGGCATTTAGACAGAAAAAACGTTCTTTAGTAATTTGAAGCTGTTGCTCATATAAAAGAAAATAAGAGGGGTCAAGTTTTGCTGTGGTACAGAGCCTATGACTTCACCGGGTTAACTGCTGCTACTTCCGTGTAATTGAGAACATAATTTGGCTCAAACCCTGGGAGACTGAAAAGGATCACAGCAGCCACTGTATTAAGCCAATGTTCAGAGCAGTTGGCTCACGCTGAATTTCATAAGTAGATCATGTATTCAGATGGCTTTAGCTGTTTGACATAGTCCACTGCATAAGAAGAGATGGAGAGAATATGTCCTTGTTTATCTTAACTAAAGCAGCACTCCAGGAAAAGCTATCAAACCTGGGATTGTACCTACATAGGGGTGATGTGTCTCCCTGTGGGTGTCTGAGCACAAACCTGGCAAGAGCTGTGCAAAGGCTGCCCTTGGTTATCCCAGCTCCCATCATTGTTGCCAGGAGCCAGCAGCCCTGGAGCTGCATACTGGCTGTGGTGCTGGTGTCAGCAGCCAGCACAGCGCAGTGTGTCCCCTGGAGGTGATGACACCTCACTAGCACTGCTAGGGCTGTGTATGGGGATGTCAGGTGGAGATAACTCAGAATGAACAGAGAGTACACACTGGTCTGAGAAAGCCCAAAATATTCAAAAAGTGAGATGGCTTCTGGAATCATGCTTTGGAAATCCCTTTCTGCCCCTACTGTGGGGCTACCAAGCTTGAAGGTGGCATTCAGGATTGGATCTGTGTCACAGTGTTACTGGCAGTGCCTGCCCTCTGCCAGAGAGGATCACTCCCATGGTGCTGCTTAATCTTTGAGCAGAAATAGACAAAATTGGTCATTAATTTTTTCACAGAGAAGGAAAAAAAAAGTTTTCTGCTCTGTCTAGGGGAGGAGAAGGGGGTTTCCTGATGAAAGAACAATCCTCGAGAAGGAAATAATTACTTTTTTTAAAAAAAGGGTGTGCAGAGGGTATGACTGATGAGTATCTGTTAATTCCTAAGTTTGTCAGCAGTCCTACTCAGGCTGATGCTCTCCAAAAGAGACAGGCATTTTCGGACAGCACTTTAGACCATTCCTCAAGCACTTAGCAGGAGGGATCATTTTATTAGGAAAGTTTACGGCTTCTTGTTTTTCCTCAAAGGAAAATGTGACTTTGTTGTTTTTAATTCTGTTGGGATTTCTCCCTTTTAATATACAACACAGCTGTTAAAATAGCTAGGGTTGTCTAGGGCAAATCATATAGCACTTTCCTTGTTCAGATCTCAGATGGCTGCCTTTTTAGTGTCACTGCAGAATTATATTACAGGGCATATGAATAGTGCTGGTATTAGTGTCAAAATCAATTACCCAGCCCTCCTCCTGCAGAGAAAGCTACAAACCTTAGGAAAAGTCTGAGTAATCCATTCTGGTTTTCTAATTCTGAGTAATGACGGAGGGCAGAGAGTTGTGCTTGAATAAGTGCATAGGGTCTTTCTCTGTATAGTCACTCCTAAATGCATGCTCTTTACAGGAAAAAGCAGGCTCCCTGTGAAACCCTTTTTCATGCCAAATGGCTCGCTGCTAAGATTAATCTGTCATTGAATTTATAAATTCTGTGTGGCACAGAGCAGCGGAAAAAGTTTAGCATCGAACAGAAAGCAAAGTATGCATTGCTTAAAAAATGAATGTTGTGCTCTTGGATAGTGTGGATTGACTGCCTCCACCAATATATCTTCTTATACTGGTAATAAAAACACTTCCATAGCCTTGTGCCTCAAAGGATCTCAAAGCACTTTGCAAATAGGGCAAAGTACTACTTCCTATTTTATAGCTGTGGAAACCGGCTGCAAGACAGAAGTTAAGCTTTTTGCCCAGGGACACTGAGGAGACTGTAGCAGGTCCGTGATGGGGACCTAAATCTCCAGAGTTCCAGTGCTGTGTCCTGGTCACACATTGCACCACTTGGAAGGCTGCTGGTCACCACCTCTTGGCCACTGTCTGTGAAACCTCTGAAGGTGGGATATGAAATCAGTGTTGGTGCTCCTTTTCTCACTGTTCTCTGTCCTGGTCTGTGGGCAGAGGTGCTGAGTGGTGCAGGATCTGGCAGGAAGGATGCTTGTGTCTTCCTGGGATGGGATGATCAGCTCTGCCTGTGGGGTGCTGTGAAAGGAAAATGATTTTTGGTTGCTGCTGACTTGGGGAAAAGCTCAGAACCTCATAGTCATCCTGCTCTGCCCCAGGCACCTTTACGAAGCAAAAATAATTATAGACTTATTACTCTAAATCCTGTGAGATTAGAGTAGTTGCATTATTATTTTTTTTTCTAATCTGGTATTTGAGGATTTACCTGTTTAATACAACCACTTATTACAAACACTTGAATAATTTTTTAATTCATAATTCATCTGAAAAGAGAGCATTACAGCTGGAAAGACCCGATTTTCAAATACAGGCATGATCTCCTGTCACATTCCAGTTGGATAAATGACACATCTGAAAAACTGGGTCCCTACTGAGGTGTCTGTGGCAGGGATGTAGAGATTTTGCTTCAGGCATCTCTGGGAAAAAAACCATGGCTCTAACCTGCATATTTCACAGAACAAGTCCTGTTACCCGTTCCTGCCTTCCCCTCACTGGCTGCTGAGCTCTGCAGTGCCCGAGGATGCTCCCTCAGCCCCAGAGCTGCCCCCAGGGTCAGGGTACCCAGAGAAGGGGGGTTGGGGTGCAAGGGCCAGCGTCTGGTTTCAAACAAAAGTGCAAAGCCTTGAAAGGAGGGACTAAGAAGAAACAGGTGGGGGGTTAGTAAGAGAGCCTCTGAAGTTTATTTGCTTAATGAACAGAAGCCCAGGCTGTCAGACCTAGGTCAAATACTCCTGCAGTTCGGGTGTATTTATTTCATACGTGGTCTGTAACCCAACCTGATTCCTGGATTAAACAACAGTAAAGTCCTGGCCCCCAGGAACCCACCCCATGTTTGCCATCAAGCCCAGCACATGCTGGGGCAGGACCTTGAGGGGCCACCTCAGTATTCACTGGAGCCTTGTGTCATCAGTAAAGCCTGTAATTGTGGGTCCTGTCATTTCCAGTGTGAGCTTTGCTATTTACAGCTGCAGAGTGTGCCCACAGATCCATCACTTTGTTGTCCCATTAATGTGAGCCATGCCTGAAGGCTCCTGGGATGAGCTGCTCAGGCTGCAGCACACGGCTGGTGGTGGAACTCGGCTCTCCCAGAGCCCAGGTGGCAGTGACAGTCCTACACAACCAGCGTGCACCAGATCCCTCACAGGGACCTGAGATCTTTGTGCTTTAAAGGTTTTAGGAGAATTTACCTTTTAGTCCAATGTGCCCAGGAGTCAGTCAGTCCTCCAGAGCAAAGGGAGGGAAGTTTTGAATTGGCACAATGGTGATAAAACTACCTGCACACACACAAAAAGTTTTCTGGTTTCCCAGATATTCCCCTGCTACGATTAATTCCAGTAAGGTAAACAGCCAGTGTGCTCCAGAGTATTTCAGGAGCTGAAAAATTTGCATTTTAAAATTTGCATGTGAGAAATTGCAGATCTGCATTAAAATTAGAAAGGAAAGAAGAATTAGCAGTGGGTTTTCCCAAGATCAGCCTGAGGCTGGTAGTGCCAGGTAACTGTGCTGGTTATGTACAAGCAGGAGTCAGGTGGAAACATGTGAAATCAAACTAGTTAAAATGAGGGGAACAAAAATATTTGCATTCAGAAACGAAGTATGCCTCTTTATTTAAGAGAAGCACCATTTTGACACTAAATTTGGGATACCCATATTTTTGCTTTTGGGGGACCATTTAAGTCTGAATCACGCAGAAGAAATTATCAAGCTGACAAAAAGTTCAGGAGCTTCTATGTTTTATCAACCTAAGTTTAAAACCCCAGGTTATTTGTACTTTGGTATCTTCTTGTTTTGTGGATATTTCATGGCATTTAATTCATCATTTGTAATGAGGGTAAAGCTGTAGCTGATTTTCAGATGCAATTGGTCAGGATAGAAGAACTTTTTTGGGAGAGAGAGGGGTCAGTGTTTGTTAGACCTCACCAGTGAGAACTTGATGGGATGTGGCAGACATTCTGTGGCTTACCTGTAAGCATTGCTGAAAAGTTCTGATCATGACACTGGTTCCAAACCAGCAAACAGCATAAGTACCCACTGTGGGAAGGAAAAAAAAAACCCAACACTTTAAGTATATATTTATCTGTATTTTATTGGAAATTTTTAGCTGAGTTTTTTCTTAGGATGGTCTAGGTCACATATAGGATGGGCAGATCTGTTTTATGTGTGCTAAATATTTGCATCTCACCTGTCCTATAACCCTGGGAAGCCTTTTGGACCTATAAACTTTACTGTGTATCCCAAGCTTAGCTGGGCATTGTTTTTTGGTCCTGATCTTTGTAGGTCTGTGAGAACACACAGTCCTTTACATGGTTGTAGCCTTTGTGCCTATGACTGCTGAGACTGGCTGCACTGCTGGAGTTAGGAACCCAGGAATTTTTTGCAGCTTGCCATTTGTTTTTGAACTCTGCCAAACCATCTTCTGCTTCATGAAGCTGATTTTGCCTGTTTTGTGAGTGGTGACCTGAATGTGGTTTTGTTTTATGTCCTGTAGGGTTCCTGAGCTGGAAGATGCCTGTCTAAGATGGAAACTTCTGCTTCAACAGCTGCTGGGAAAAAAGAAGGGAAAGGTGCTGTTCTGGAGGGGAATGGCTTTACAGAGACGGGGAAGAAACCCACTCCTTTAGCAGCAGCAGGAGCAGCAGTGGCACAAGGAGGTACTTTACGTTTTCCACAATTTGAAAGCAGCAGGGGTGTTTTTTATTAGGATGTAAGAATTTAATAAGTATGGTGGCATCTGTCTTCCTGTGAACACACTGAGTTTATTGGGGTTCTTAGCTGTGAGAGGAACTGGAAGCTGTGTCACTGTGTGGCATCTAAATGTCACTGTAGTGTGATTGGTCACCAGAGAACTGTGCTGGGGTGAGGGAGGGGATGGGTGGTGAGGGGTGGCCGTGGGGTACTTCGGGCATCTCGTCAATGCTTGCCACCAGCTGACTGGTGCTGAGTAGCATTGGCAGCCCTGTGCCCTCCACTTCTCCATGGTGGAATTAAAGAATGGCTGGTGAGGCTGGCTGGAGATGGGGAGCACCTCATTATCCTGGTCAGGAAGGGGTGTTGTGTGCCAGCTGTGATTCTGCTAATGAGCTAAACAGACTGCATGGTCTTCAGTCATTGCTGCTGGGATTTCATGGTTAGAGAGGAATTTGGGAATATCCAGACCCAGTGCAAGAATGTTCATAGAGAAACCCCTCTACTTGTGCCGTTCCTGTTCAAGTCAGTGTGCTAAGCAAGATTTTGGTCTTGCTGCTGTTGAAGTCATCTGGGAAGCTCTTGTGGACACCTGCAGGCATGGAGCCATGGGTGGGTGTAACTCTGGTGTGCAGGTGAACATGCAGGGATGTTGCTCCTGCCTCCTCCTGCTCACTGCGGCAGGCAAACCCCATCTCTAGCACATGTGTGCTGGTGGATCTCCAGAGCAGTGCCAGGGCCCATCATGCTGACACAGCTGTGGGCAAGGCTGTGCCCGCTGGGGAGCCACCATAGCTGCCTCGCTGGGGACTGGGTGTCCTCTCTGGACAGGGTATAAGGAGACAAACTTAGAAGAGGCTGCACCAATTCAGATGTGACAAGACACACACCCCATCCGTGGAAACTTTGCAGGTAGCTTTTTTTTTTTCCTTTTTGAAATACATGTTATTGCTGGCCAGAGTCTACCTCAAAATGAACCTGTCCCCTCCCCTTCCTTCACTGCAGGGTGATTTTTCATCACCCCAGGAAAACTGAACAGCTCTTCTGTGAGCTCCTCTCTTTCTTACCTAGATTGGCTGGAGAGTTTGAATTTTTTGTTGCCTGAGTTTTGAAGACAGTTTCCAACCAAAAAGGCTTAAATCTCCTTTATCTTTCCTTTTTCATAAACTTTGCTACTCAGGTTTCTTTTTCCAACTGACCTGTGAAGATTCAGATGCACAGAATAAAGTAGGAGTGGCTAGATTATAATCTGGTGTATAACTTAATGTGTTTCATAAACTTCTTTTTGAAAGTAACCAGAAATCTTTTACAAAATTGTTTGGAATGAAACACACTTTTGTGGTCCTGGATGGGTCTGAGCCACTTTCCTTGTGAGCACTGCACAAAGTGGCAGAAAGGAAGGCTTGCCAGGGAGTGAAAATAGGGGAATAGCAAGGTGCAGAAGTTTGGCATCCCCCAGCAGAACCCTGAAGAAGCAAAGGCTATAGGAACTACTGAGGCAGCCCACTTGAGGTATCATCTCAGTGACTGGTAGACCTGAAGGGTTGATTTTCCCCAACATGGTCCAAGCATATGCTAAAATTCACAACCCATAGATGTGCTGTTACAAATAAACACCTTCTCCCCACTTGGCACTTGTCTTGGGAGTGCCTCCACTGAGGAAGCAGTCACAACCTTTCCAGAGATCCAAATGAGGATGCCCCAAGGTGGAGTGTCCATCAGCCCATTTGGCATCCCTGGAAACCTAATTGGTTTTTAAGTGTCCAGGATAATATGTTCTGTTAGCAGTGTGCTCTCACCTTTGGAAAAAAGTGATTTATGGGCTCAATATTTCTCCTTTTATTAGGAGGAAGGGGAGAAGTAAATTGAGGATTGTTTGAAGATGTCAGGAGAATTGTGATGAAAGCATTGTGTAATGAGATGTAAAGAGTGAAATCTATGTCATGCTGTGAAGAGAAGTGCTCATAAATGACCCAAACTGGGCAGCAGTGGAGCAGTGTGTGGTGGGATGCTGGCCCCAGGACTCTGCAGGTGATGCATGTGCTCTTGTGGTTTGAAGGGCTTTCCTTTGAACTTCAGCTAGACATAATACAGGCTCCTGAAAGAGAGCAGCATGCTTCTGCGTGTGCTTGGAAGTAGAAAAATTAATACAAAGTTTTCTTCTAACATGAGTTAACTGCAGGGTGTGATTTAGCAGGTGATAACAAAAAGGCTGGGTAGAAATGAGACTCTACTTACATGGTGTTCATGCTAGTATAACATGTTTGATTCCCTAAACTAGAGTAATTACTCACAACAGGCCACAGCTATGAGTATTTATGCTCATATTTTTACATTAGAAAGCAAACGAGGCTCGGAGATTAATTAGGAAGTTCAGCTTGAGGGGGGGATCAACTTTAAAGGGTGAGCCTCTGAGCTCCCCACCCTGCTTTGGGGCCATACGAGCAAGTCTTTATTCTCATCCAAGACAAACTCTTGATTTCATATATTGCAAAAGTTTTACTCTTTGTACTAGCATATGAGAAAGTGGCAGTGAGGCTCAGCCAGTGCTGCAAATCACCAAGCTTCTCTCCAGAGCCAAATGAAATTCGCAATGCATTTCTTCTCCTTTATTCTACTGAGTCACACAGAAGGAGTGCCATCATAGCATGTTTTGCATGTTTCTCAGATCATAAGGTTTTCTTTTTCACTTGTAGGAATTAATAGATTCATAAGGTTTTATTTCTAATTAATTGAAGGAATAAACCGAATATTAGTTAAATAATTGAAGAATAACTATTTAATTATATTATTATTTAGACTGTATCATTATAAAATAATATGTTCAGTTTGCATTTCTAGTTCTCTTGCTTTGGGTATTTGTCCCAAATATCTCCAGCCTCTAACAAATTAAGTTATGGGTGTAGGAAAAAAGATCAATATTGTTGATGCTGGCAGTAGAGTCCTTTTGTACTAGAAATTTGCATCCCATATTTTTAGTCTTCTGAAGCTGCCATTTTAAACATCATCTCTGACAGTTTTTTATAGTAACTCATTGATCAGATGTTCAGAAATTGGCCTCACAGATATCACATCAGGGAAGTCTCTCCTAATTTTCTATTTTTCCATAAATCATGTTGACCAAGGAGTCAAATCTCCTCTTTTCTCTTGCAGTAGGGGCATATCTATATGTGTGACTGAGATGGAAACTGTTTATAATGACAGTATGTAGAAACTATGGACAAGTTAGATCTGCAGAAGAGGCTCTTGGGTTTATTGTCCCTACTTCTGGAAGGGCAACTTGTAACAATTCGAGTTCGGAAAACCTGCTAAGTCCTTATTGCCGTGTAGGGTAGGAGGGTTTGGTGCAGAGCACCACAGGTGAGGCTGGGTTGTGTCCTCCACCCTGGCACTGACACGTGCTCCATACCTACAGGCATGAGGGAGCCCAGGCATATGGCTGTAGGGGAAATTTAAATGAGCCATTCTTTCAAAGGCAGAGATATTTAGGAAGATAGGTTTCTCATCTCGTAATAAAAATTAAATACAGATTCTCCTAAATGCTAACTGCCCAACTTTAACAAGGCCCAGAATGCACCTTTCTCTCTCACCCCACCCTCTGCATGACACAAACTCCAAGTTCCCAAATTGATGGTGTTTATGTTTGAGACATTTTTCTGATGTCGGGCTCTGTCAAGACTAATTTTAGCATTTCTAAAGCTGGGTAAAAATACAGCCTCATTACTTTGATGTCAGAGCATAGTTTACTATTAGTATATTCTGGGGTTTATCATTTTAGTCATGTTTAACACAGCTACAGCAGGCATGCACTATTAAATCTGGCTTATTTTACATTCCTGTCCGAAATTATTTATTTGGAACAATTTCCTCTCTATCAAAAGACACGGCTAATGCTGAGTTTTAATGTGTTATTTACACACAAAATAACCTATTTACAACTCAGTATCTGCCGCAGGGAGAATGAATGGGGCAGTGCTCCCTTCATCCTGTTGTATCTGAGTTTAACAATCTGGATTGCTAATAGAACCATTTATCACGGGGTGGTAATTTATTTTATGTTAGCTGCACAGGTCTCCCTGCCTCTGATCTATGGAAATACTTTGTATATAATGAAGTTCAACAAGTCATTTGGTGTAAACAAGGGGAAGCCAAGCTGCAGAACTAGTAAGACTCCGGCTGTGTTTTTTTTTTTTTTTTCCAGGAGGTAACAGCTCTCCTCTGATATTAAGGCTTCAGTTGATGAAATACAGCTCTTTGCCCTGTGTGTGCTGTAAAGGCAGAGTGTGGGGCTTTTCTGCAGTGGATCAGAGATTGGGATGGAGTTTGGCTACTTGATTTATGGGCTGGCAGGAATGCTCAGTTCTGCAGAAGCAGCACACTCAGCCCTTTCATAGGCAGAGGAGAAGGGCAGAGAGCACCTCCCATCGCTCTCCAGAGGTCTTCCGTAAGCAAGCCCCAAGTAGCATTGGCAAGGAGTCCTTGTGCAGTTCAGCTTGTCTTAGTGCTAGATTATGGGAAGACCATGTAAATGAGGAGGAGGAAATGCCAGCATCCCAGCAGACCTCAGTGCGCTGAAAAAATATATCGTTTGTGTGGCCTAAGACTCAGACAAATTAGAATGAGAACAGCCCCAGTGAAGTCATCTCCTCTGTCCACCCTGGAGGGGCAGGAATCTTCTTAAAGAATGTTTTTCATTCAGTTCACATTTTCCAGGAAAAGGAACATAACCAGTACAAGCACATTCTTAGCTTCTCTGCCCTGCACTGCCTTGCTGTGTACAGCTTAAAATGCTGAGAGATGGGTTCAGCAGAAAAGCTGGGATTGGCTCCAGGGGGAAAGGGGGCAAGTGGTTAAAACTGAATGATGGGGGAATTCTGTAATTCAGACTGAGCAATTCTCCTGACAGCCACTGTCCATTCTCATGCATCTACTGGACAGAGTTCAGTGGCCCCCACCTTGGGTAGGG